TTTAGAGTTAGTTCCTTAAATCACCAAAAGTATAGGATGACCTGTCAAGAATATTTCAGAGACAATGTCCAGGACTATTGGTTTCTTTTAACTCTCCCATAATACCTCTGGGTTGATCTTTTTTATTTTTTTTCCTTTCTCAAAATTTTCTTCTGTCACTGTCAATGTCCTACTACACCTACAAAAAGTAATAATGCCACTAATTATTTATTAGTAATAAATTACCTATCTTATGGAATTTGATATAGTTTAATAATAAATTTATTTTTAGCTATACACAGAATCTCATGTATTTCAGTTATTTTACATAGAAGAATATAGACGATACATAAACATATTTTGACTAGTGAGCTGATTGATRATTGTTATTTTCTTAAAAATTGATCCTGAATTTTTCTTGCTTGGATTTTTTTTCACTTATTATACAAGTGTCGTCTTTACATTATTGATATTTGGATTTAATTTTTGATCTGTTTCTTCGTGTTCTTACATACTTTCCTACATTTGATAAATTCTGCATCAGAAAAGATGTTTTTAAGACATGTAACAACTGTTACAATAATAAGCCTCAAACTCAAACTAGTTTAAAAATAAGCTAGTTTATAGGTTCCTGTGCCTATAACTTTAGGATTTGCTTATATTAGATCTCYCACTTAGTTTTCTTTACATCATCTGTTTTATTAGGTTTGTCTAAAAGTAATGGAAATACCGGTGGCTCAAAGAGGATGAAAATTAGGGCTGGGGAAGTAGTTCAGTGATAAGAGCATTTGCCTAGCATGTGTGTGTATGTGTGTGTGTGTGTCCAGCACACACACATATACACACAGGACACACACATACAAACACACAAACACGTCTATCACTATTAAAACCCCTCACTACATATTATAGTTATATGTACTATATTGCACCAAAAATAAAAAAGAGGATAAAAATTTTTGTCTCACTTTATTATCTGAAGCTCTGCATTTCAAAACAATATGGCTACTTTGATCTAAGAGGTCATCAGAAATCTTGTTTCCTGTCAGATTATGAGTTTTCTGCTCCTGATGTAAGACCCTCTTATGGCTTAAGATGAGGGCATCCGTGTTTTAGGGAAGAGAACATAGTAGAACAATCTGGAATGTTTTGTGGCAGGTAAAAATTCTATTAGTATAAACTATGTAGAATTCTTGCCAAAGATGTTTATAGCTTGAGTATAATTATAGGAAATAATCAGACAAACCCAATTAATGGCACATTCTGCAGACAATGGACCCAGACTCTTCAAAAATATTAATGGCTTTTGTTTTACCTTCAAAACAAAAGTTGGGGATGATATTATTCTTAACTGAAGAAGGCCAAAAAAACATGACAATAAAATGTCATGGCCCATGGCTGGATCCCAGATCATAAGAAAAAACAAAACAAATAGAAAAAACTTTTGAAACAGGAAATTGAATGTTGACTTTATTTTATTGCACCACTATTAAATTTCTTGGGTGTAATAATATTTTTGACTTTAGAAAGTTGGAGAAGAACATATTTAAGGGCAAAGGGTTATGCTTACTGCAAGTTTGTTTTAAGTGTTTCAKCCAAAAAAGTATGTATATGTGTATGGATGAATCCTTGACTCTGTTCTAGTGGATGTTTGTCTTTGTAAATAATCATCCTGTTCATGTATGTGGAGGCTGTGTAGATTTCACACTCTTTCTCCTATTACTTGGGCTGTGGACTATATTAGCAGGCAATAGTTATATGATAGTGTAGCATGTTGCTGCAAGAGCAAGCAACTCAAAATTGTAGTGGCTTAATACAAAACAATTATTTATTAACCATACAGAATCTCTTGTGGGCTCAGATGACCCATTAACATAGCTGTGCTCCATGCAAAGCTCCATGTAACTTTGATCTTCTGACTTCGCCATACTAACACTTGCTTTTGTATTTGCTATGAGGGAAKGAGCTGGAGAATAAATCATCATCAATTAAATTACATTATTTACATTTTTCTGATCAGAGCATGTCACATAGCTGTGCCTAACTTCAAAGGGATTGTGGAAGATTGTACTTTCTAAAGGTACCCKTAAGAAGTCTTTCTTACCCGCATACTGTTCTACAATATCATCTTGCTTCTTCTCCATCAAAAAGTGAACCCTACTTCCCCTAATTTGTTTAAATCCATTTGGGCTTTGATCATTTCAACCCATAGAGCAAGATGGATAGGATGATATGTGATTTCTGAAGCTGGATAATAAAAGTGATGCCACTTCTGCCTTGTGTCTTGGAATATTTACATTTGGACCCCCTTACCTACCATGTAAGAAGTCCAGCTACTCTGATGCTATTATGCTGTGAGGAACCAAGACACATGTGGAGTCCACAGGAGGCACTCCAGTGAGCAAACAAATTAAAAATCATCCTAGACCAATACCTGTGTTTCTTTTATGATATTATCCATCTGTGGTATAAACTGAGACATGTATCTTTACTGATATTTGAAAGACTCATACATGTGTATACACAGTTAACTCTGATTCTGTTCTTTTTTTCTTTTCAGGGTTGGATGTTATATTCAYATTAGCTGTAGCACATTTATTAGGCTAAATTAMATTGAGTTCTATTTTTACTATGATTTTTTAAAACCTCTTGCAAAAGGTGCTACAAGCTAAAAATAACAGGTCACACTTGCATGTTCCACCAGGAGGCTGTAACAGTGTGAGTGCTGCCACACAATGGGAATGGTGAGCAGCAGTCCACAGCCCATGCAGCACCCTCTCAGACCTTTGTTTGGTGCCTCCAGCATTTTGCTTTCTGTGTTTCTGTRGATATGTCTTTGTATTAAATAATTTTACCATGGGTCTCTTTTGAAGCTTGTTCGGCATTATTTCATCCACTAATTTAAAACTGAGAGGGATATTTGTAGTGAGTATTGGAGWGGTTCTGTGTGCCAGGAATGTGCTGTGTTTTATAAACTTTATATAATATATAAAATATATAAACATATAAACTTTATATATACATATAAAATA